TTTTAAACCCTCACATACCACCACTTTAGATATATTAAAATATGTAAATTTTTAATATACACTTGCGAGTCTTACAATATTTTAAGAAGTAAATTACTTTAGTGATACACAATTATTTTTAGTGTTTCAATAAGTTTTATACTTAGTTGTGTCATCTGGTGTTGGAGGATGAGTAAAAAATAGAGAAGTCCATTATCACAGGTGTTTTAAACTCAAGCATCTGAAATCTGAAAATGAATTATTATAGCAAGAAAGGGATGGAAGGAAGCATATGAGATGGTTTTGTAGGAAGTATTTTTGACTTAAGTGAAACTGTTACAGGATACCTCAGAAAAATTCACTTGCTATCATGGAATTTAATGCTTGATTATAGAAAGAACCCCTTTGGGGCAAAATTGCAAGTGTTAACTCTGTCATGGACTGGAAGTAATGTTAGTAGTGGAACTACTTAGATGTGGGTTGCACATCAAAAACTAATTCAAATCAGTCATTTATTTTGGCATGAGCTTCGCTCAGCCATTTTTCTTCCTCTGCACTTAATTCTCTGCCCTTTCAGGGGACTCTTTTCATCCTGTGCGTATACTTAGAATTCCTCTGCCTTGTTCTAATCAAGATAGAGAACAAATATGCTAAGTGATTGTTATATGTATAGTATAGCAAGAGGTAGAATGTGCTAACGGGCTAATTTATATTGTACAAGAAATGTCAGAGTGCGATGGCCTGTAGCGAAGGACGCTGAGAGTGCTTATGCACAGAGCTCAATAGATGGTAGAACGTGGACTTGGGACTCTGAGTCCTGAATTTAATGAGAATTAGGTGGCTTTAATGAGCACATTGCACTTGCATAGCAGTGGCAGCAGAGTGCCGCTTGGTGACCTGTGTAGTATGTCCCCGGCCCCCATCCCCTGGCCCACCTCGGGCAGCCTGTCACTGTTTTGTCTTTTTAAATTTTCCTTCCTTTCTCAGACTCTTCAAATCCTTCCCACTGTAGCCCTCCAGATTTCTTTCTGACCCCTCATTCCAGGTGAGGACTATCCATAGGGTTTGTCTGTGTCGAAAGCAGTGTGCTGCCCCTTGGCCTGGTGATTTCTAAGGACATTTCCAGCGTTTCATTACCTTGAGTCTATGAAATAAGTTTTCTCTTCTGTAAAAGACCAGGTGAGGAAGCAGGCGGAACAGAGGGAAAGACCAACAAGATTGGAACCCTTTTTAAGAGAGCACAGATTTTATTGGATTTTCAAAACTGGCTTTAACATTTGCTAGATGTATACCTTTGAACAAGTTACTGTACCTCTAAGCATCATTTCTTAATAGCTAACCTGTGGGGTTACATTTTTAAAGTACTATCGATGATATTAGCTAATATTTAATGGACATGTACTATGTGACAAGAACTGGAAAAATTTTATTACCTGTATGATATAACCCTCTTAACAGTCCTATGAGGTAGTTAATAATTTTAGTGTCTGTTTTGCTAAAGAGGAACCTAAGTCACAAATTTAAGGTCTCACAGCCTGTAAATACTTGAGCAGATTGAAACCCAGACG